CCAATGGACTGTAGAGCACAGGACAAGGCTTTTATCTCTTTAAAGCCTTCCACCCTTGTCAGCTTCCTTGCCTTTGCCAGTGGAATCAGGTCAGGGTCCAGCTCAGAAACCATTGTGCTGACCATATGTTGGGCCATTAAATAAGCAGCCTTTCTGGTGTGGGGATCGAAGGCAATGGCCATCAAGATCTCCTTTCCACCATAGGTGGAAGGGTCCCAGGAAACTGATATCTGGCTGGATGATGAGAACTCATTCTCCAAGGCCTTTTTGTGCAGAAGGCAGTCAAGGTATGCCTCATACACCAGCATCCTGGAGGTGTCACCACCGAGTTCATCATGTGTCCTGGCCACCCTCCTCCTTTCCACCTTCTCCCTCCTCAGCTTCCACAGGAGCAAAATCTTGTTGACAGGATCTGCCACCCTCCTGGCATGACCATGCTTGGTCTTCAGTTGTGGAAGGGACTTCAATGCTTCCTCACTGATGCTGATTGCCACTTCTTTCAGCAACAAACCTGTTCTGCAAACAAATTCTGTCAACAGGCCCTGCCCCAAGCACTTGAAAACATTCTGGCCACCAGTCTTCTGCTTTTGGTGGCAAAACATGTAAGACATGAAGACCCAAATGTCTCTAAAGGTAGCAGTTTCCAGCCCACTGCTGATGCATGTGTTGAGCCAGCATCTTTGCCCCAGTTTTTTCCATAGTTGTATGGCAGGTGGGCACTTTGCCAATAGCTCCTGCCACCCTTTGCAAATACCTTGCTCTGAAAAGTAGAGCTCTTTGCATGCCAAATTGCCATTTGGCAAAGTCACCATGCCCATGAAAGGCCTTTGCACATCAGCAATGCTGAGAGCTCTTGCAGCCAGTTCCAGCAGCAAAGTCAAAGACTTCACCTTGGCTGCAGCCTTGAGTGCTCTGTTTTTCATCACCCACAGTAGGATAACTAGCAATCCCCTGGACTCAAAGGTAAGGTCTTGCCATGTCTCCTTTTTGTTGGCTTCATCCTGCCCTTGTGGTTGCTGTCCATCTTGCCCTTGTGGTTGCTGTGGTTGTTCCCCATCAGCAGGCTTCTGGGCCTTTCTGTAGTGTAGCTCCCCAGCTGGCACCTGCAAAGATTGCATGGCATTTTGGATGCCATCCAGGTTGACTCTCAGTAGCTTTCCAGGCTCAGATGCAATGCCTAGAAAGGCATGGGCCCTTGACCATAGCCACTCAGGGCAGCCCTCTTCATTGATGTATGCTCTTTGCTGAATGGAGTCCAGTGTGGCCACCCCAAATGGCAATTTGAAAGAATGCTCATGTTTCTCCACCCTCTCAGTAGTCTGCTCCTCAGCTACCATATCCATGGCTCCAAGGCTACCAAGGCTCCAAGATACCACAGGCACCCAGGCAAAGAAAGCAAAGCAGCACCCCAGTCTGTTGTTAGGGTGGTGAACATTCATTACATTATTATTAATGTATACTGTATACATTCTGTTGGATTGGTTATATTTTCCTATTTTTATGTTACATCATAATAAGTCATATGTCATGTATGATTGTGTTTATTTTCATTACATGGTGTGCACTTTGATGGCCTCTCCAGATCAGCTCAGTCTTAAGCCATGACCAAAGGCACACACACACTGCTCTGATCTGCAAAGAAATTGAAAAGTCCTGGACAGTGCATGCTGTTTGTCTGACAGTCACTGCTTGCACAATTGACCAAGCACAGCTTTGCTTTGCAGTGGCAGTCTGTTTGAACATTGAAGTTGGCCAAGGAGCTGGCACCAGGGTAGTCTCTGCCAGAGCCCTAGTTGCCATGATGTCATAGCCATTCTTCACAAAGGCCTTACTAAAATGAGCTTCAAGAGTGCAAACCCTTTTGACAAATCAGGTTGAACTGCAGTTGTGAAAGCCACCAAGGGACCTTTCACAAGCAAC